AAACTTACCGATTTCAATGACCCAAATGAAGATGTGAAACAAATAGTTCAAGATACGTTACCTCAAACACACTATGATATGAAAGGTTGTACAATTTTTACCTTCAAAGAAGACTTACCGCTACTGAAAGAAAAAATAACAGAGTATTTTGACAACTTCAAACAAGTAGGGTAGATGAACTATTTATTTTTATTGACTTTTTACAATTTGAACTTTGTTTGCGTAGATATGAATTCTGAAAGAAGTATGAGGGTCTTGTATGACTTTGTACTTCTCCATAGTTCATGTCTGTCAAACTTACCTGCCATGGACTCTTTCATAAGTTCCATGAAATCGTCTTCGGACAATCCGGGGAAAAGTATTATGTCAGTAAGTATTTCTTTTAACATCCTTACTTAACCTCTTTGCTGTCTGTACACAAATGACAACTGAGATGTTAAAGTGTCTGAGCTTCTTAAGAATTCGACACATTCTTGTTCTCTGTTCTTTAACAAAGGATGAGAGGCGAAGTCATCTAAGATAGAAGACATCTATGAGGGTAAGTCTTCCAATCGTAAGATTGCAATTTCTTCGAAATGTATTCTATCTCTTTCTGTTTGTTTCTGAAGTGTTTCTTCTCTAATATTCTTGCATTTCCTCATTAGGGTCTTTAAACTTAGAATTTATATACTCATTTATAGCATTGTACTTCAAAACCCTTCTTTGGTACTTCTTTATCCAATCTAACAAACTCAGTATCCTTTATACATACTAACTTAGACTTCTTTATAATATCTTTGAACGAATTGACGGTTTGGTCAAATTGACCAGAAGTACTACAAATAACAACTAACTCATAGAATGGGTTCTTCTCATCTAGTTCTTGTTGTTGTGCAGCCATTTTAAGATAAGTGAAAGTCTTACCAGACCCAGGTGGTGCAATTAGACCTGTTATACATTCTGAGCAAATAAGAACTTGTCATGTATAGGCTTTATCTGAGCATTTTCTAACTTCCTCTTGTTCTTGTTTAAAAACATTCTCAAATTTTTTGTCAATGTCAGCAAACTTTTTTTCTAACATATTTTTAGAAAAAATTAAAATTTTTATCTTTTAGAAAATGTCTAGCGATTTCGCTATCTATATTCGAGACAAGCTTTTGACAGCAAAACATCTGTCGACCATAAAATCTTACATAGTGTAAACAAGAAAGGTGAATTTGTTCTAAAGTTCTGTTTCTGGGAATATGACAAGAACCATAAAACATTAAGCAGAGCAGTCTTAAAATTTGTCAATGACAGACTTGTTGACAGAGATGACGCCGATTGGAAAGATGAAGTCCAACAAAAGTTCTTAGAATGCAAAGAAGACACATGCGGTGTTCTTGAAGATGAAATAGAAAACAGAATAGAAGAGCTATTAAAGGACAAAGAACTTTTACATAAATATAGTTGCGCCAAATTTGACGTCTCACCACCAGAAAAGAAGAAGAGAGAAAAGAAAGAAAAGAAAGTAGAAGAAGAGAAGAAAGAACCTGAACCAGTTCCAGAGAAAAAGAAATTTGACATGTAAAAATAAAATTTTATTTTTAGAACATTTCTGGGTCAATGTCAATGTTCTCTTCCTCTTTAGGAGTAAACACTGGCTTAGACTCTAAAATCTTTTTACCCAATTTACCTTGAACTTCAACTATCTTAGCTCATAATATTCATAGTCGTCTGCTTTCTTTGGTTCATAAGGTATAACAAGTTTGTATGCTTTACCTTCTTCGAGTTTTGAGAACTTTCTGTCAAAATTTTCTTTGACTGTCAACATACCGTCAATGTATAAGTCTTCAAAAGTTGCACCACTTTTTCTAACAACAGCAAACTTTAACTGGTGCAATGTTCCAAATTTTGTCAAATGTAGACTTTTCAAAATTGTAGAAGTAAACATTCAAATATGTGAATGGGTCTAGTTCTTCTTTAAGTCCTGACATGTACTTGTTTACTGAAATATATTTCGTCATCTTTTCTATCGGATAAAAAATATTTTTTTTTAAAAATTTACTCAGAAAAAATTTTCTTTGTATATACACCATTCTGAACATCTAAAAGACTTTTGACATTTGCCAAGAATGTTCGTTTAGACGCTGGCATATAACCATACTCTTGACAATATTGTTTATACGAATCGTACAATGACCTTTCATCTAATGACACAAAGTCGCTTTCTTCTATGAACAGTTCATATACACTCTTGTTTGCTTCTAACAATGTTTGTCTCTCTTCGGTATGTGGAATTTGTCTTGGATTGAACTTAGAAATATCTAATGTCATGAAATATGAGAACAAGTGGTTGTAAAAGTCAGATGTCAAACATTCTGACAAAGCGTCAAAATATTCTGTATCTTGCATATGAGAATCTGACGTTCTGACAACTACATATCTTCTGTCAGAACTTTCTAACTTCATCGGAACAGCATTGTTTGAAACCATAATGAAGTTTGCAACATTTTCACAAACTCTTTGGTCTTTATACTTTCTTTCAACAACTCCAACTTTGTCTGTTATAAGACTCTTCAAAGCATCTGAGTTCAAAACTTTTGTTGTATCTATACTTTGAAGTTCATTGCAAACTATAAGTTTCATATTCTCTATTGAGGAGTTAAACTTGCCACAGATGTTTTCTAAGTTTGTCATATTCGGATTCGAATAACCTTCTAACAGTTTGCACAAAATATCTGTAAAGAAAGTATTCTTACCTGTTCCTTGTTTTCCAATTATAATGAGAGCAGTTTCATTTTTAGCACTTGGATGTTGTAAGATATTTGCAAACCAACATAAGATATACTCATAGACTCTTTCGTTTCCATTGCATATAATTTCTTTGACATGGTCTAACCAAGCTTCTATAATATTTTCTTTCCATTCTACTTGTTCGTATTTATATCCAGTGAAGATAGAATAGAAGTTTGGAGAAGGTGTATAGAACTTTATATCTCGAACTGAAAAATCTTCTAACTTTGACAATAAGATATCCCAAGCATCTAACATCTTCATGCCAACTTGTACGACTTTTATTTTCTTAAGTTTCTGTCTACATTCTTGTTCTGAAACTATTGTTGCTCTTGGTTTGTTAAAGACAACATCCCATTCTTTCATGACATAACATTCTGGGGCAGAGTCAACATAAATGACTAAACGTTTCAAATTCTCGACTGCTTTGTTATAGTCTCGAAATGGACACATATTTCTGAATGCTTGGAAGTCATAAAAATCTGAAACATCTATTCTGTACATTTTTATAAAAATAAAAAAAATAATATTTTTTTATTCTTGACTTTGTTGTTCCATTTGTTGCATTTGTTGTTCTTGAGCTATTTGTTGTTGAAGTTGTTCTTGTAATACAATACTTTCACCAGTTGCATCTGCCAATTCGAAACTTTCTGCCGTCATTGACAAATACATAGGACATAAAAGTTTTACAGGAACAAAGTTTGCGTCAACTAATGTCAACGTTATACTTGCCAAAGTGTTTGAGTTCACTAAGGTTGAAAATTCTGCATTCGAATGAACAATAGGCAAATCAGCAGAGAAAGTATTGTTTATACGCATAAGTATCTTTTGGTCATAATAGTTTCTGTCGACATTCGAATAACACTTTGAACCTAAGTTTGAAACAATATATAAGATTGGTGTGCTTAATGTCAATGGAATAGACATTCCTTGTATGACACCTTTTCCTGTTATAGGAAACTGTTGGTAGTAAAAACCAGAAATAAGTTTTGTATTATAGCTCATATCGTTTATAGTAAACTCAGTCGGACATCCAAACATAATGAAACCTGCTCTAGTTGCAGCACATGTTACACCCGTACTTAAAGTATTAAATATGTCAACAAAACCTGTTGGTGGTATATCTGAGTAAGTATCTTCAAAGGAGTATTTTTTACCATTCACAACAATAAAGTCTTCTGGTGTCAAAAGAGCAAAACAGGCTTTAGTCGTCATTGTGTTTAAGGTTAGTTTACAATACCGTCCTTGAGGACTTTGTAAGTTTGTTGTTATAGAATTATATGACTCAGGGTTTTTAGTCGTAATAGTATAAACCATTATGTCTTCTGCCATTTACTTAGCAAATAAATTTTAATGAAATGTTGTGGTCGTCAAATATTTTTATAACGTCTGGGAAACTATATTTTAAGTTCAACGTTTCACCTCCTTTCATAACGTATATCTTGTCAATGACATTATATGAAACACCACAGCAACCAATGTCGGGTTCTATTTCTTTGATGTTTATATCGTCTGCCTCTGTCAAAAGTTTCAATAGTTCTTTCAAAACTTCATGAGGTGCAATGACATATGAGTTCACTTTTACAGGGTTGTGTTCGACCAAGTTTAACATTATACTTAAAGCTTGACAAATCTTCTCCTGAGTTTGAAGTTTGTCTTTCAGTTGTTGGTAGTCGTTTCGAATATCTGCAACAGAACTTAAGTTTCTGCTAACTTCAGGATATGTTGGTTCTTTTACAGGAACAATTGTTATACCATCTTCGTCTTCGTATGGTTTCCCCACTTCAACATCTCTGTCTTTGACATTGACAATAACACTTTGACTGTTTGTTTGAGTTGGTGAATTTAACTTCACATCTGCCACCGCCATTAAACCTTTTGAAACACTTACGCTTCTATTTTTCGGAAATGACATTTTACTTAGAATAAAAAGATGGACGTATTCGGATATCTTATTGAATTGAAGCAGAACAAAGTTTATACTCACAAACAATACAAATACATTGACAGAATAGTTCTTTACACAAACAATGGAAAATGTTATAGAATAGCAATATTTGCTGAACCAAAATATTTTCATAAAGCAAAGAAAGTTGGTATAACTGAAATGGTGAAAGTTCTTGAAGCAGACAAAAATATAACTTCAAAACTTACAGATATTACTAAAGGAAAGTTTATAATACAATATTATGTCAAAACTGGCGTACTGTCAATATTTGACGGAGAGAAGTCAGTTCAAGAACAACTTACTGACCTGCTGCCAAAATCTGCTCGATGGAAGCTGTCGTTATGCCAATCTGAGGAGCCCCAGCAGGTTTCATCGAACGAATCTTCAAAAGAGCATCTTCCGTGAAAAGTGCTATTGGTTTTGTAAACTTCTTTGCTCTCAATTCATCTGGACCGTCTCTGTCACCAGTATATTGTATTTGAACTGTACCAACAGTTGAAATACCACCCATAAAGTCTTCTGAGTCAGCAAATGGAATGCCAAGCCAAAAGTTTGAACGGTCTCCATTTGTATATTGAGTTTTTTGACCTCCTGTATGAGTCCATACTTTCACATATGGCATAATAGAATTTTGCATTTCAGGGTTAATGGTTGTTGTGAAGTTGTTGTTAAAGTTCATAGCATCTAATGTCAAGTTGTATGACCTCATATCCTCAACTGTAGAATATTCTTCTCTTGGATAATATTTGCCATCTATGTTTATATGATATTTAATACCAGGGTTGTAGAAACAAGAATAGTCATTTATAGTTCGTCTGAACAGTACAAACATAGTATCTGCATGTTTCATTGCAGTTGTTAAAGCAATATCTGTTCTTGCACCTGCGGCTCCTGGATTTTGGTTTCCAACTTCACCTGCAAAGTCTTTGACAGATATTTGGTGTATAGGGAACATAAGTGGAACTGCAATATATTTGGCAGCTAAAGCATTTGAAATATCTGGGTCCAACATATAAACGGCAAGTCTGCTTTCTATTCTCTTGCATTCAAATTTTTCGCATGTGAACTTAACTGGGTCCCAAGCATCTCCAGCAGCATTGAAATAATAGTTTACTTCAGTGTTGAGGTTTGAGAAACCAAAGTCTAAGTCAACTTTGTCTTTGCAAAAGTCACAGAACTTGGCTCCACCAGTTCCAGCTACAGTAATGCTGAATGGGTCTTGTGTTGGTGCAATGACTAAGTTATTTTTGCTTGGAGTAAGTTCGATAGAAATTTTTCCTGCCCAGTTTGGTAAGTATCTTAAAAACCTGAAGATGAGGAAAGATGACAAAGGAACTCTAAGTTTCAGTTTTACTTTGGTTACTGCTGCTGCAGTTTGTCCAGAAAGGTTAACATAAACTCCTGGAACGTTAGGGTCAAGTCTTCTTATTTTCTCAATAGTTGCATACTGGTCTGTTTGTTCTCTAGCTTGTGGTTGTACTGAGTTTCTCAAAGCGAACCATTCATAGTTTGCCCATGTTACTGTTTGAACTAAGTCAGAGTTAGAATATATCTTATATCCCATGAAAACTTCTGGAGCATATTGGTATCCGACATAGAAAATTCCATTGCAACCTTTCTTGTCAGACAACTTGGCAGAAGGTTTTATTTCAATGTCTTGTTCCACGTATAAGAATGAGTTGTCAATAGAAATAATATGAAACCTGTCGCAAGCAATATCTACTGTTGTTGAAGAACCTTCTCCAAACTCACCTATGTTTCCATAAGAAACAGCAGTTGTATATTCGTAAGTTCCAGGAACTATTTCTGACCTTCTAATGGCATTGTCGCATTCGTTATACTATTCGGAAACATTTCCGTTCATGGCATCCAAAACTGTTGGCGTTATATTCTGAGCGGCGTACATTTCATATGGGTAAAAATATAGAATAGTTGGATTTATATATCATAATAGAACCCACTCGGACCAAGCTTTACTTTCTTCCTGACTGAGTTTTTAACTCTTCTTTTTCCTTCATTGCCACTACTTTCACTAGATGAAGTTACTTCTTCACTACTTTCACTTTGTTCTACTCTTCTCTTCTTCTTTGGTGTCGCTTTTGGTAACTTGCCCTCTGCTTCAAGTTGTTGCATCTTTGCCTCATGTTCACCTAGTATGTTGTAAATTTCCCATGTCCTTTTTGCCTTTGGGCTCTGGTCGCCCATCTCAGGTAACCTATATCCTAGAAAGATTTTGTCATAGTTTGTATTTGAGTCTTCGCGTATTGTTTGCATGACTCTTTCCTGAGTTTCCGGTTCAAGCTCTTCAAATAGAGCTTGTCCATATGGAATAAGCTCGTTTCCAAATATATGTTTTTGTAGCCATTCTGGTTTTCTTTCCATGTAACCAATAATATCTTTTGTGAATGGGAAAGCTTTTACCCAACGTTTCAGTCTTGCGTCATTTATTTCTGTAGTTGGTTTTATTTTGTCAAGGAACATGTTTTTCAATACTAACATTTCATTTGGTACTGTCCATTTGAGTTTTCTTAAATATTCATCCATTCTCGGTTCATTGTCTGCAAAGTAAGTTTTTATGACATTTTGCAAACTTTCGTTTGCAAGGTCATGTACAATAGGTTCTCTTCCTTCTCTCTCCCTAACTTTCTTTCTAAACTCTTCACCAAATATACCATCTCTATGGTTCTGTGTAGTTCTTTGAGATAAATGTTCTAGAACGTCAGGTGTTATATTTCCCTCAGCCATGTTCATTTCATACTGGTCCAAAATATCTGCATGTTTCATATCTTTCAATGGCATTAAAGCCGCGCTGAAAATACCAGCTATATCTGGTCTACCATTCACTTCCATTGCGTCTACAACTTCTTGGAATTGAGGTTGTAAGTTTATGAACCACCTATCCGGATTAGCTTTATGACCCCATCTCATTGTAGTTCCATAGTCTGCAGAAACAAAAGTAGGTTTGTTTCCATATTGGTTAGGTTCTGAATGAACTTTAAACAATGTTTCATTTCTATATGTTTTGTTGAAATTTAACCTTTTATTTTCACCGAGTTCAGCCAAAGATTGAACGTTATATGGTCGTAAGTAAAAAGGATTATTGTATTTGCGTACATTTTCTTTCAGTACTTCCATTCTATGCTGAATATTTTCATCTGATGTTGGAGTCTTTTGTATGTCGGCGAACATTTTTCGATATTCTTCTACTATGTCAGCCGAATTTTTCTTAGACTCTTGGAAAGATTCCATATTCTCCGCATACACTTGTTGAGGGTCAAGATTTTTCGGCTGTTCCAAATCTTCATCTAGTTCTGTGAAGTTAGTTTCCAAAGGAGGGACTTGTTCGTTTCCTTCAGGCTCTTCTAGCTGTTGTTGCTGAACTATTTCTTCCATGTCTGGTTGTATCTGAACTTCTTCCTGTGGAGTTTCTTGTACCTCATCTGCTGGCATTTCATATATTCCGAGACCGTTTTTAACAAGTTCCCTATCTAAGTCATCCGGACTCATAAACCTTTCTTCTTTCGTTCCGTCTCTATTTTTTACGCGTTTCATGAAGAGAGTTGAATTATCATTTAGCTCTGACACCAAATATCTCGGAGTAAATTCATTCATGTCATTTGGATGATATGCTATTAAATCATATCCCTTAGCGAGCTTGTATTTTCCAGGTTTGAGATTATATCCCATTTGGTGCTGAACCATAAAGCTAAATAGGTTCGGGTCAGTATTTCCTTCCTTGAACTTTCTAATAGCTTCTTTATATCTGTCACTAAAGTCAAGAGTATCTGGGTAACCATAATCTTCCTTAAGCATTTTTAAGAATTCTTGGTTTCCTTTTTCTCTACTTCTTTTATGTCCTTGCTCTGTTTGTGGTTGTTGTTGTGCAGGGTTTTGAACTGTTGGTTGCTGTGTTGGTTGTTGTTGTGGTGCTGGATTTTGAACTGTTGGTTGTTGTGCAGGGTTTTGAACTGTTGGTTGCTGTGCTGGATTTTGAACTGTTGGTTTTGGTTGTTGTTGTGGTGCTGGATTTTGAACTGTTGGTTGTTGTGTTGGTTTTGGTGCATGTCTGTGTCTGTGTCCATGTGACGATGTAAATGTTTTAGGTAGTCCTGGTGCGGGTGCTTCTCTTGGAGGGTTTGGTGGTATATAAGTTCCACCAGCTGGCACATATGTTCCATCTGCAGCATAATGTCCTACCTGACTTTTCGTTTTTAAGAAAGCATTTACTAGGTCTGTTTTGGTCTGTTGTAACTCTTTTTCTTGACTTTCCACAATAGTTGCTCTAACGGCGTCATAGGCACTTTGAACTGCCTGTCTCGTTGCTGCATCTGTTATTTTCGTCATATTTTGTGCTACTTCTCTTAACTCTTTGTCGAAACCTTCAGACTTCAGTTTCTTTCCAGATGAGAAGTCGTTCACTAGTTTCACCTTACTATGAAGAGCTTCGAAGGCATTCTTAAAGTCAGCATTCATTAAAGCTTCATTTGAACTGTCTTCATCCGCTTGTATTTTTGTCCTTATTGACTCTATAAGTTGGGCTGCTTTAGCGTTGGCTTGGGCATCTAACCAGTCATTATTAGCTTTTATATATTCTGCGCTTTTCATTGCCTTTTGCATGGCTGTGTCGTTATTTTTACTTTCTTGTGCTAAGTTTTCATACTGTACGGTTTGGTTTTGCAACTGTAAAAGTTTTTCTGCCTTTACATTTGCTTCAACTTCTTTTTTATACTCATCGCTATCCATATATGTCTTCATGGCTTTTTGTTTTATCTCTTCATCTTTCAGTACTTTATATTGAGTAGTATGGTTTTTCAAATTTATAACATCTTGTTCCATTTTTGCTACTTCTGCTGCTTTTTCTGACACTTTTTTCGCATATTCCTCTGTACTTAGTTCTTTCAGTTGTTCTTCTTTCTTCTTTTTCTCTACGTTTAACTCATTGAGTTTCTTTGTGTGTCTGTCATATTCTAGTTTCTTTTCGTTTTCACTTATTTGTTTCTGTATGTCTATGTTTGACTTTTTGACATCTGTTATTTGATTTTTGAGTGAAATCAAATTCATTTGACTTTGAGGGTTATAAGCTGTTCCGTCTGCAGCTCCACCATAGCCTGCCATTTTCGCTAAAAGTGCCGCTCTTAAACCCCCACTCTGTGCACCAATAACTCGGTTTAAAAGCATAGGGTTGCTTGACATTTGTTGCAACATAGTGGGGTCATTCATCATTTGTTGTTGCAACTGTTGTTGTGGTGTCAGTTTTACTATTGGATGTTTCAATGCTCCCTTCCTCTTACGTATATTCTTACGTAGCTTACGTGGCATTTTAAGTGAAGTTAAAAAGCGGTTTTTGACAGATGTTTATATGACACTTTTTGTTCAGCACAAAAAACTACTCGGTCAAAGTGTTGTCAGTTTTGTAAAATAACCGTCTTATCTCATTCTATAAGGGGGAAAAGGCTTCTCAAAGTATACTTCCTTGGAACGCCTGTAACTTTTCCTGTAGCGACGATAGACCCTTACTTGTCCGGACAAAGTTATACTATTTTGAGTGCTCTACAAAAAAGTCAACAGCTGGCTCGTCCTCAGAATTTTTTTATGGGCTAGAGGGCGCAACGCGCCTGGAAGCCCTCCGAATAAAAACTTCATTTATACTAAACATCTTCGGGCTAGAGGGCGCAACACGCCTGGAAGCCCTCCGAATAAAAACTTCATTTATACTAAACATCTTCGGGCTAGAGGGCGCAACGCGCCTGGAAGCCCTCCGAATATAAACTTCATTTATACTAAACATCTTCAGGGCTAGAGGGCGCAACGCGCCTGGAAGCCCCACTACCTTTTTTTTAATGCTTTGAATATATAAACAATAATACTTTGTCTAGAGAATTAAATTTGTGTTATCCAATTGTCAATTCTTTGAATTTTTTATAAAATGCACGATATTCCGGCATTAGCCTCAATAAATATAAACTACATGCATCACAATATTAGGATGTAATGGCATTAAAGCGAATTTCCTAATTTCTTCTCAATTAAATTCCTAGAAAAACTTAGGAATTAATGATTGGAAATAGGTCAAAAAAATTCCTAATATAAAATTTATACTTAAATTAAAATCAAAATTCGAAAATATCTATTTTTCAAAACACGCATCCAGAAGCGAAAAAATTCGAAAAAATCATTTTCTTATAATACTCGCTGATTTTGCAATTTTTGTGTGATTTGAAGTGATAGAATATATTATCATCTTACTAAAACATATACTTTATTGTTACATTCACAAAATATTAATCAGAACACTAGGAAAAGTGGATTTTCGAAAAAAGACGATAACGATTATTTGCAAATCGCCTCTCAATTTTGAGAGACTTTCAATTTTTACAGTGGACCCTTAAATAAATAGAGTAAAAAAAACGCCAAATCTCAACATCAAAAAGAAGATGTTGTTTCATTTAGTAGGATGCGAAACACAAGCTTTGCAGGCAATCTACCAGATTAATTAACATTCTTCAGTCTGCTAAAAAAAATTCAAATGGTATTTGATAAATTCAATTAAAACAATCCGGGTTGTTTTGAGGATATAATCGTTTTTATTTTAATAAGAGATTCGACCACATAACAATTTTTTGACTGAATTGTGGCCAATTACTTTTTATATTTTTATGAAATTAATGAGTAGCATTCTAATACATGCGTATTTTATTATTGACAACCTACAGGTTAATTCAAATATTGAAAGGTTTACAAACAGAAAATGAATTCATAGAAATGAAGAGGCAGAAAAATCATTACCGGCAAGCGAGAACCCCAGATCCTAGAAACCAAGGAGGGAGTCCTCGTGCTCGTGGCAATGGTGACTTTCCGAAACTAAACTTAACGCCTTGTAAGTTCTGGAAACTAGGAAAATGTGACTGGGGGTGGTCATGTCGTTTCCTTCATGGAGATTCGGTTGAAGATGATCCAAGACGTCCAGAATATACCGGTCCTCCCATTGATTTTACAAAATTTCCTCGTCCGGTAGTTTCATCACCACATTACAACGCACAATCACCATTACATGCAGAAGATCAGTCCAGAGTTAAACCATTCAGAAATCCCGTTGTAGACATTATTATGTCAAATCCTTCATTTAGTTCTCAATTACTCAGAATTAGAGATACACTCAACAGCAACAACATAGACACACTAATATCAGAAGATTTATACATGACAATAGACCAGGCGAAGCTCAGATTCGAAGATCAATTAAGTGACTACATTTTATACATTGATCAAGCTGGAATGACCATAATTCCTGATTCAACTGAGTGTAACCTCCAAAATATGTCTCAGTTCATTAATAACTCATGGATGACAAAATGCAACAATTATTCTTTAGAAGATTTAGAGTTATTAACCAACCAAGAGCTTGAGCAAGTCATACTGAAGATTGCACCAGATAATGTTGAGAATATTGAAGAAACAGTTGTTAATTTACAAAATACAACTTCAGATTGCATAACTTCAACATTAACATCCACTTGTGCAGTCAACTCTAAAGATTTAATGGAGACAAAGAGGAAACTACAAGAATTCTTTGCTAAATTAAATCTTATCAACACAATCATCGCTGATATGCCTGTTTATATGAATTCTGAACCACAAAAAGGCAGATCAGTTCAAGTCAGACCTCTTCCTCCTGGAGGTTTGTCATCATCGACACAAAAAGTGTTGTTATACATAATGGGAAGATCTCTTTCTCAAATTCATGTTTGCATCTACAAGATCAACCAACTTATTGGCTGTACAACACCTGCAAAGATGAATTACGATGCTCCTGATCTTAAATCAGGTGTGTTACACCAAACACCTCTTAGTGCTCCTCTCTGCGCTTCTATTTGTGGCGAAGAAGTTGCTCCAAGAGTTGAGTTTGGAAGGAGATTGGAACCTGAAGTAACCGTTGACATTCCAACACAATACACAATTTCATTTAGAAATGGCTTCAGTAACGATTATTCACCTTTTGATTACAGAATTTAATTTTTAATATTTTTTTTCGGAATTCTAAATAGTTTTTTCTCTCGTACTCTATTTAAATTACATTGGTTTTTTGATTTATAGAAGTATTTATTAAAAAATTGAAAATGATTCCAAAATTTAGTTTGGATGATGTAAACAATTTTCATCTTTCATTGGAAATAGATCACTAAACCAAGTAATGGTCAAACTAATGGTTTGTACTTCAATTCACTGATTAATATTTCCAAAAAAAAAAATGATGCGAGGTACATTAGGGAAAAATAACAAAAATGAATAGTAACTGGAATTTATTACTTATAAAAAGTGTTTTTATTATTATCAAACAATGTCTTCATATAAAATATAAAATTTTGAATTCAAATTTGGAATGGATTGAAATATATATAGACAAAATGCAGTTTGTATATAAAGTCTTTATTAAATAAGCTTTATCTCTATATAAAATTATGTTAAAATTATGATCATCTCATCTTGTAAAGTTGAGAAAGGTCATTTCCATCAACAGACCAGTCAATTTCGAAATCTTGATCACGAGGATTCTTCAGATTAGGTTCCATGTGGAATTTTCCGAATACTGGAGTGTCTGGGTCAACATTAATTGGATTTTCGAGGTAAAAGATTGTCTGACACCAGTGAGTTTCTTTCTTATATGGTGATGTTGAAAGAATGACTATTGTATTTGGTCCCTTGAACTCAACATCGAACCAAGTAACAAATGCATGCATTGTTTGGGCTTCTGATGGAACTAAAGTAAATTTCGATGTAATTGTAAGGTCTTCAATGGTACATTTGTTCAAATCAAGATCACAAAGCTTGTAATCATTGGTGATAATTCTTTCTTTTGGACAATTCTCGACTAGAGGCTCCAATAATGCCCATTTCTTAATTGGTGCGTATGAGAAACCGTAAACATCATCCCAGAAGTCGATTTTCTTTGCACGGTATTCCGCATCTTCGATACCGCAAATGTAAATTTGAGCTTTGGTTGGAAACATGGTTCCTGTCTCTTTAAGGAACCTATTGCGTGCATTGAGTACGGATGGAAGCATTGATTCGTATAAAAGGCAATAGCCCATCCATTCACTAATAATAACATCAACTTTTTCTGGTAAGTCAATTTCCTCAATAGTTCCTTGGATTACTGTGATTCTATCTCCAAATCCGTTGATGTCAATGATTTCGCGTGCATAATCAATAATACTAGATTTTTCAACAGCATAAACATGTTTAGCACCGGCTTTTGCAGCAAACATCGAAAGAATGCCTGTTCCACAGCCAACATCTAGAATGATTTTTCCTTTGAAAAGAGATTGATTTGTAAGAATTGCATTTTTGTATGATAATGTTCTGATTTTATCTTTAAGCATATCTTCATGTATTCCAAAATGAGCGTATGAATCGAAATAGTAATCTGATGATTGCATTTCATCAGAATGATGCTGCATTTTTCGGATTTTTTTGGTTTTTGACACAAAAGATAAAAGATCATTTGATACTTCAAAATCAAGATAAATGGATGTCCTAATATGAATTAAATAAAATAGTTCTGATAGAATTGGCCTCCGTTGTTGAATGTTTCGTCATATTTTCAAAGTAAATTGGTTTTTATTTAGGAATGAAATCGTAGATGCTCCTTATGAGGATAAGTCATTCTGTTGCTTTAAAATTGATGTTCTGTATTTTGAATCAAAATCAATCTTACGGTTATGAGGGTAATGACTTTTCTTGAAAATTTTTGATGCAAATCTTGCCGGCGGAGATCTATTCTCATTTTACAATGTTCTTTCTCGGTTTTATTAATATCTGAAATAAGATGGATATCATGCCATCCTATTCAATATTACGGAAAAGCATAAGTTGGTATTAAAGATTGTATGCTCGAAAATGAATGTTATCAATATGTTGTTGACTTCAAATCTAAGAGAGAAGGCTCAAATTACTAATAGATTATTCGCCATGTTTAATCGATGCATTTTTCGTTAATCAGTAAGAAACATATCGTGATAAAATTTATTTTATTCGGGAATAAAATTGAGAGACACGATCTTATTTTTGGTTACTGGCAATATGAAATCACTTAACTAGAGATAAGCATGTGAACATATGATTTATTTCGGAAAATTAAATTATGATGAGGATTTAACGTGCCCCACTCAATTTATGGATTGAATGGAAGAATCATGCTTTGAAAACAGATAATTTATTCATAATTTGTACATTATAAGAAAATATTATTTCGAGTGTAAAATATTTGATAGATTTGACAACTTTTCAATTGAGTTTTTACATCATTGAAATGAATATCGTTTAAATGTAATCCTCTCTCATGATAAAATCAATCATCAAGAAATCAATCAAATAATTATTATTGACATTATGAAAATCAGATATTTTTCTTTCCAACAAGAAGATTTCAGATTGGAAGGGCTACAATTTTCATAAATATTATTATTTTATTAACTATTATAAATGGTATTAAAAAGAACATAATCGGACGGCGAATGAAATTAATCAAACAATTCTAACAATGAGAATCTATATTAAATAATTCATCGTTCTCCAACAGAAACAATTCCTCAATTGTGCTAGGATCCGGTACCTTTAATTTAGGTTCTACTTCGTTTGTTTTCTCTTCTAAAGATGTTTTTTCCTTTTGTTGCATAAGCTCTTTAAAATGGGCTCTTAACCCATTTGGAGATCTACCACGAAAATGGGTGGAAATTTTACTCCATCTTGGCCCAAATTTAGAGTACATATCAAGGAGACGACTATCTTCCTCTGGGCTATAAGGTTCATTCGTTAAGGATGGGCATATATAGTTGACCCATCTATCTCTGCATTGTCTTGATGACCTTGTTTTCATCGTGATTGAAATTGCTTCCCAATCCCTGGTTCCGAGTTGGCTAATAATCTTGCTTAGTCGCCGGTCCTCTTCTTCTGTGAACTTTGATCTTGAGCCTCCACTGGTGCCCATCATTTAATCTGTAAAATATTATTTGTTTAACCATTTCAATTCAATCATAGAAATTTTTGATAACAAAAGCATGTCAAATATTTTACGCGCCCTTTTAAAAAATTGTAATTACGGTAAGAATTCATTATATCAAGTCTATAAGTTTCGTTGATTATGCAAGAAATCTGACATTTTGAGACAAACTTTTTTATGCCTAATTGAAAAGTTTCAAAAGAAATTAAATGCATTTAAAATCATCTTAACAGACTTAATTCTGTATTGTCAAAAACCAGTTAATTTTAGAAAAAAGGATGCAGGGATCTGTGAAATTTTGAGTGCCAATCAAAAAATAAAAACTGTTATCAACATTTTATTGTATTCGAATCCAAAATTAGTTTAAAAGATAATATTGGTGGCCAAAATATTTTTTACAACATTCAAAATTAATTGAGGGGGTCCTCTGCTAAATAGAATAATCTAAAAGGATTTCTTTTGAAATATTAAAAAGTGATTGATTTTATTGTTATGGGTATGTAAAATCAATTTTACTTTGTTTCAGAAAAAAAAATTCACTCTTGTTTTTATATTAAAAAGAATGTATGTCATTAATTTTATTATTTTGAAACATTTATTAGATAAAAATGTTATCTCAAAATTAAACGAACATTCTCAAAAAATAAACACTTTTGTTCGAACTCGCTTTGATTGTTTTAAGGGTCCACTGTAAGGCCAAATAAAGCCTATCGTCGTCCCAAAAATATTGCTCAAGATGGTGTTTTTACTAAGGCCCAAAACTTAAAAAAACACAAAAAAATTAACTTTACTATTTTGAGATCCTTATCAGATGTGCAACAATTTGATGCAGTATCGCAATTCGAATCCGATTTTTTAATGTAGATGTACTCTAACATTCTTGAAAAAATGCAAAATGATATTAATCAAGCTTTTCATTTCTGTATCATACACGAAACAAAATCATTCATTATACTAAAATTTATCAAAGTTTGAATAATGAAAAAAATAATATCTAAATTTTTACATTGAGTCGGCTATTGATATGGTCAATATTAAATCGTTTAAAAATGGGCATTAGCCAGAATAATACCCACTAAAATACACATTTTTTTAAATTTTATCAATTTGTTTTGGTATATCTTTATGATAATGAATAAAATGCTTATCTTTCATAAGTCAATACATAATTTATGCTGAAACACAAAAAATAACACGAAAATTTTTGGCCAACATTTCAAAACGAAGGATAATGCTTTGAATATATAAACAATAATACTTTGTCTAGAGAATTAAATTTGTGCTATCCAATTGTCAATTCTTTGAATTTTTTATAAAATGCACGATATTCCGGCATTAGCCTCAATAAATATAAACTACATGCATCACAATATTAGGATGTAATGGCATTAAAGCGAATTTCCTAATTTCTTCTCAATTAAATTCCTAGAAAAACTTAGGAATTAATGATTGGAAATAGGTCAAAAAAATTCCTAATATAAAATTTATACTTAAATTAAAATCAAAATTCGAAAATATCTATTTTTCAAAACACGCATCCAGAAGCGAAAAAATTCGAAAAAATCATGTTCTTATAAAACTCGCTGATTTTGCAATTTTTATGTGATTTGAAGTGATAGAATATATTATCATCTTACTAAAACATATACTTCATTGTTACATTCACAAAATATTAATCAGAACACTAGGAAAAGTGGATTTTCAAAAAAAGACGATAACGATTAATTGCAAATCGCCTCTCAATTTTGAGAGACTTTCAATTTTTACAGTGGACCCTTAAAGGAATAATTTAATGAATTATACTGATTGATTGACTTCTGTCTATATGTGAATCGATATACGATAATGCATTTTTTTCGCATTTCTTCATTGGTCAATTCAACCGAATTCATTGTTCAAGTGGAAATTTAATATATTGAGAAATTGGGACTGTTTTTGTATCCTTTTCTTTTGAATCCATCAAGTGGCCAAGATATTATTTTGAAATTCTTCTGTTTTCTTTGAATTATACCAAAGTCGAATAAATGGTATTTTTATGGAACATTTGTAACTTAAAATTTCACATTATAAATTATACGGAATCAAATAGGTGATAAAACTTAATAAGTGATAGCAAAAAGTACTAAATTTTTTCATAGACATGATGTTGCATGGAATAATCTCAAACTTATTGAGATTATTGATTCAAATTAAAAATCACTGAGATATTGATAGAAAAATCTAATTACATTCATACTAATAGAGTTTACAAAATACAATTCTATATAATTAACAATATAAATAGAAGAAAAAATTAATTTGCAAATGCATCTGGTTTTTTGACTTGAACTGTTGTAACCTTGATGACAAATATGATAATAGATATCATTAAAACAAAAGTTATCGATGCCGCTACATATATTGGTTTGTAATTCTTTTTGACAACCTTTAAAGGGGTCGGAGTTCTATCTGGCAGTTTCTGGCCTGTTCTTTCTGTAATAACAAGGCCTCCTAATGTCTCTTTCGGATATGCATATGGCGCATAAACTCTTGTGACTCGTCCTTTCAAAAAATAAAAGAGGTTATCGCGGATTTCCTCTGTACCTTCATAAATAATTGTTTCCAGAGAAGTACAGTCGATAAATGCATGCTTAATTGAGATGAAATTAATGTGAGTAGGTAAAATGACCGTTCGGAGATAAGTAACACTGGAAAACGCATTGTCATCAAATGAACTGACTTCTTCCGGTATAGAAAAGTTCCTTTCTTGACATAAAGGTGGGTACAAAATTAACCGTTTGAAATCAGATGTAAATAATGCGTTTTGGTGAATGATAAAGTGCTGGTTACGTGGGTGGACAGTGATTGATTTGACTTTTCTGCATTTTTTCGCGAAATTTGGGTCAATTATTTCAACATTTTCGGGAATTTCGATTGATTCTAAATTTTCGCAATCTTCGAATGCGAAAGACTTAATAACTTTGAGTCCTTCGGGTAATCGGATACGAACTATCTTCTTACACTCTTTAAATGCGTTAGAACTTATTTGCATTTGAGTTTTTGAGAGAAAAACGTAAGCAAGAGATTGACAGTTATGGAACATTGAAATAGAAACGTTTCCTGATGATGTGAAATTGACTGTTTGTAACTTTTGGCAATCTCTAAACAATTCATCGCCAAATTCTGTAATTGATTCAGGAAGAGTTATATCTGTAAGGCCAGTGTTCTTAAAGGCGCTTTCTCCTATAGATCTTAGGCTACTTGGTAAGTCAATTGATGCCAAATTTTTGCAATTTAAGAAAGCTGAGCCTTCTATGTATTGCAAATTCGATGGGAATGTTATTTTTCGTAATCTACTGCAATCTCTGAATGCTTGTCTTTCTATTTTTGTAATATTATCTGGTAAAACTATAGTTTCGAGTTTATTACAGCCAATAAAAGTTTCTTCTGGTAAAGTTGTAATTCCTGTGGGAAGTCTAACATCTTGAAGTAAATTGCAATAAGAAAAAACGTGCTTTCCCATAACTTTTATTGTATCATTGAGAAAAACCTTCCTAACATGACGTAAATCGTGAAATGCATAGTCAGCAAGTCCTTGCAAACCATTTATTTTTATTTCGTTATATCTGCCGGCATTAAATGAGTATTCATGTTCGAAAGAAATTGCATGTTCGCAATCCCCTGATAGTACAACGTAGTTGTCCCAATACTCTGCTGCTATCTTACATCCTTGGACTGTTAAATGTTCTAAATATGACATAAAAAATCAGGAAGAAAAATTCAAATTTTACCAAAATTGCTCAAGAAATATCCGAAATTCTGATTGGAATGGAACAATTCCGCATAAATTGTTATTTCCTACCATCAGATTATCTTGTGTATAAAGAAAGCTAAGAAATAAAAGATATTTTTCATAAATTTTAAAATTATGTGTAATTATAAAACAAGCTATGAATTTATTTGATTTAATGTCTATAAATATCAAATGTGAAGTTAACAGTTGTTCATTTTGTTATAATGTCATTAGTGAAATATGAAGTTCAAAAAAAGCTTCAGCAATACGCTCAAGATAATGTACTGCAGAAAACTAAGTTTTTAAATGATCCTGTTTATATGCTTAGTGATCATCAAGGAGCAGCAAATGAAGTTCATTTTTCTCCGAATGGATCAATACTTGCTTCTTGCGCAGAAGAAATCATATTATGGTCGATAACAGATACGGTTAAGTCTATTGGAGCTTTAAGGCCACATAGTCGCGCAATTACAAGTTTATCATGGTATGCAGATTCGACTAAATTAGCTTCAGTTTCAGCTGACACGACTATATGCATACAAGATATTCCAACTGGAACAATTATACGTCGTATTAAAACGCATAAAGAAATTATTAATACTTGTCAGTTCCTAAAATTCGATCAAAACCTCTTGGCTACTGGTGATGATGCTAACATGATATACATTCACGATATAAGAACAAAAGATGCAGTTATGTCTCGAAAATCAAATTCTCCAGTTGTTTCTTTAGCTTCAAACGGCACTTCCCTAGCTGTTGGCGGAATTGATGGAATTTTGTATATCAATACAATACAGCAAAATGATTCAAAAATAGAATTAATGACTAGATTTAAAGGAGATACTCCAATTTTTGGATGTTCTTTCAAAAAAGATGGTCTTTATTGCGCTGTTGTTACTGCTGATGGTTATATGAGAATATACGATAATAAGTTCTATTATCAAGAAGTAGATAGACTTATTGCAAATGAAAGGTTTGCCGAAGACCAAATAGAGATTATACCAACTAGATGCGTATGGTCAGATACTAATTTGATTGCTGCAGGCAGCACTGACGGAATTTTGAGAATTTGGGACGCAGAGAACGAGAAAAACCCTATTCTCAAGTACAGTCTTCCTGGACATAAAGGTTCTGTAACTGGAGTTGATATTCATCCCAATTATCCAATTGTTGCTTCTTGCGATTCGAATGGTTCTGTAATTGTCGGTGAACTTGGTGATAGCTAATAAATATTATTGTTGTTTATGTTGTTGTTAATAAACTATTGTATTTTTATAGAATTTTGAAAAAGAATTTTATTAATGTTTCTTATATTGTGAGTTTTTCAGGATGATTATATGTAAAATTGGTAACATAAATAAAATAGATATACTTTGTTTTTCCAAAATTTTTTGAATTTAATGTTTTTATAGAGAAAAACTATAAAATGATTTTCATTTTTGAAATTTTGAAAAAAATTTGGAATTTTTTGAGGCAAGAGATTTAGTTCTAGTTAGTATTAATAGAATGAAATACATCATTAGCATTGATCTATGCAATTTTTCTAAATAGTTTAATAAATTTCAGATAAATTCCAAAAGAATATGGAATTAATTCAGCATTTATTCAATAAAATCTCAGCTCTTCTGCAAAGTAATAAGTAATCTAATACGTTGATAATTTAATATCTAAAATTTTGAATCAAATTCTTAAATTCATTAAATAACATAGCAATTTTCAGTAATAAAAATCAGATCCATGAGATATTATTTCAACTTAGCTTTATGATTTCCTTGAAATCGTATTTTTAATTGCAAATATCAGGAAAGAAAGTATTTAAATGATTCAAGTACTTAATATCCATAATTTCAATTGTAGTAACTAAGAACATTTTTTACATCAGTATTGTTTATAAAAGATGGAGTTCAAAATATCACCAAGCATTTTCCTTTGGAGAATAGCATTAATACCTCTTTCCCAACTTCATTAGCAAGTAGAGAGTTATTCCCCCTATCTGATGTTGTATTTTTTGAATTCATTACAGATCCGATGTTTTTTCATTCATCTATCAAAAAATTGACAAATTTTATGATGTTTAGTTCTTTATTATTACCACTTACAAGAGCAGTCGATGGATGCCAAATCAGTGTCATGATGGCATCAGAAGCTCGCCACATGAACATTACAGATAACTACGGTTGTTTAATTATTCAAGCTTCACAATGGTATGATTTTTCCAATGAAGGACCTGGATCTGCTATATATTGTTATAACTTAGATACAAGTATTTTCATCAAATGCTGTTATTTCGAAAGATGCTACGTTCCTGAAGGATCTGACGGAGCCATTCATGTTTTCGTTAAAAATATCAATTTTAACTGCGTCGCAGCTTCAGATGTTGCTGCAAAGGAAAATCAATTCGGAACGGTCAGTGTTCAATCAAAATTCAGAATGAACTTGAAGTACTTCTCACTTACACAAACTGGGTTATATTCATCAGCGAATATAGGCGAAAACCACAATTTTAATTACTTAAATGGAGCTCTCCAATGGGATTATTCCAATATTTCTCATTGTGAAGTCGTTGGAGCTTCTTCTCATTTCACTTTACAAGCAGAAAATGCTATGAGTGTGAAATGCTGCTACGGACTTTTCATAAATGGAAAAGGAACGACTTGCGTCAGTTTAACTTCAAAGAAAGGACGAAAGATATTAGAAAACATCAACATGATTAACCTTACATCATCCAAAGGCGTTTTACAGCTCGAAGGATCTTTTAATTTCCACTCGATTTTTGTTGGAAATTATCAAGGTCCATTTTTCAATATTGTCGGAAAATACGAGCTGAAGATATCTACCCTTTATTACCTTAACAGCGCTCCTTCACATCAGAACATAAAAATAGATAAACTTGAACAAAGGAATGAATCACTAGTTATCGATGATAAGTATATGTTTAACAGATACAGATGGAATTTGAATTAATTGTTTGTTATGCGATTAAAATTGTTTATTATTTTTTTTAGAAAATAGAATTATTTTTTAAACCATCGAATGACACCTCGATGATCAATTAATTACAACAATTATATTGGAATTATGCAGATTATGGTCAATTAGGATCAAAATGAAAATTTTATATTTTTAATTTATGAGAATATCCCATATATTCCCATGCAAAAAATCATTGCTTCGAAGTTTTACTGACAAATATCTTGTCAAAGTGATAATTAGCCAAACACTACCGGAAATAAAATTTCAAGATGATTTTGACGATTTTGATGCTTGTGATGAGTGGAAATCGAATGAATTTCATCAATCATCTAAGAAAGAAGCAAGATATACCATTAATCACTATATTTACAGCAGAATGGTGCCCACATTGTAAAAGGCTATCACCAGTCTTTCAAAAAATAGCAGACAAATACAAAGATGATCAGAGAATCACATTTTCAGCTATTGATTGCGCAAATGAGGAAGATTTATGCTCAAAAACCGATATTTCTTCTTATCCAACTTTTATCTTGGGTATTCATAACATTACTATTGCATTACCATATCTCAATACAAAGGATCGCATGAATGAAGCAATTAAACGTATTTTTGCCTTTAATTCCTACAATTTTAGCAAAAAACCAACTACATTTCCAAATTATGAATTTACATTATCACAGAATGATAAGAATTCAAGAGATATAGTCGATGCAGTTATTTTAGCATCCGAAGTTGATTTTGAACAAATTTCAATAAATGAGAAACAAACACAATATACAATCGAGCCAAAAGTTACTGCAAACGTTGACAAAGGCCTCACAGTTGAAAATACCGATCAATTTACTCCTTTCTTTGTAAAACATTTTATTGAACAAAATTCATTGAAGATTTTCGATTATTGGACATTCAAATCAATCCAAACACTTGACAAAAGAGTTGCCATCTTACTTACTAGCGATCCAAGAGATTACGAAAAATATCGTCCATTTGCTCACAAATATTACAACAAATTCGTGTTCTTGAACAGTGCTGGAGTCAGACACACCGAAATACCTCAAAAGTACTGGAATATTTCAGCATCAGACCTTCCAGCTTTTATCATCATGGACAGCAAAGCTACTTATTATTCTGCACTCAGAAGAATCAATAATACAAAGAAGATGGCCCATTATGAAGGATTACTCGATAGAGATGTTTTGGTGAAGAATTACTTCAAGATTGACCAAAGAGAGTTCAACAAACGCCCTATATCAATCATTAAAATCAACATTATACTTATTCTTGTTGCAATAGTTGCGGCTATCTTAATTATTGAAATTTACGGAAGATGTGACAATTCAGAGCCCAAAAAGCATCAACATAAAGAATAAAGCTATCTATTCATATCTATCACATGAAAACACAATTTATAATATCTAAATGTTTGTTTTATTAAACTTATTTTTTGCATTTTTGATGAATAATTGTTTTATCAGTATTTTACTATGTTGTGACATTTACATATCAATTTCTTTGTAAATCAGAGAGCAAATGTATAGCAAATATGTGTCAATAAAGGATAGCAAGTATCTCCAGAAACATAGCAATTCTGCAGCTCAAAAATTACATACTGATAGATATACTGTACAAATATTTGCCTCTTACTTCAAAATTCTCACATAAAAGAAGATGACATCAATTTTTGAAATCATTTGTTGATACGAGGTGAGGATCACTAAGATGAGACTAGTCAAAGGCAGTGTAGCATTCCAGAATGCAGGTATTTTGGAGATTGAAGGTTATTGCAAGGTTTTTGCTATTTTAACACTTTACAATTGTAAATTTTGTAAATAAAAAATGGCATTTCATTTGAGAGTGTACACGCCGCTGTTTTCAAATTAAATCATTTGGAAAAATTGACATAGAATTTTTTACGCTGTTATTTCATTTTATACATCTTTAATTTACTATTATTTTTGTCGATATTTCGGTAAATGTGACAGAAAAAATTGAATGTTGTTACGTTATTTAGAAATATATGTCTGGACTATACGCTCGTGTGACTAGTTCCACGGTCAATCCTGGTCCGGGCTCGTATAACCCGAAGCTAGGAACAACTAGTGATAAGCCAAGAGCCCCCGAATTTTCATTGAAAGGAAGGCATGAATCTTCCACAAACGTTAATACCGCTCCATACAGAGATCTTCCGTCCTCGATTGGATCAGGCCCTAAGATTTCACTTGCATCAAGACATGCTACAAGAGACGTAGAGAATACACCCGGACCTGGTTATGTTCCACCAGCTCTTGGTGCAGATGCTCCAAAAGTTGCTATGTCATACAGACATAGTGAAGTACGTGACTCAAGAGCTGACAATCCAGGTCCAGGTGCTTATGATTACAAGGCACAGTTCGGTAACGAAGCACCTAAAGCCTACATGCACTCTAGAACTGGTGATCCAATGGGAATCAATTCTGTATCACCAGGTCCAGGCGCTTACAATCCAGATTATTCATCTCAGAAGAAACGTGCTCCAAGTGCATCAATGCACATCAGACCAGAATCACGTTCCATCGAGACATCACCCGGTCCAAGTGATTACCAAATTGATAGATCACTTGGTGGCCAAGCATCTACAATGCACGCCAGAACAGGAGATCCAATGGGCATTAACTCTATTTCTCCAGGTCCAGGTGCATACAATCCATCAGACAGTATGAAGCCAAAGGCCCCATCATTCACAATGAAAGGCCGCCATGAATCAGTTGAACGTCCAAACACAGCTCCATACAGAGATCTTCCATCCACAATTGGTCAAGGCCCAAAGATTTCACTTGCATCAAGACATGCAACAAGAGATGTCGAGAACACTCCAGGTCCAGCATACATCCCTCCAGCTCTTGGTGCAGATGCCCCAAAGGTTGCAATGTCATACAGACACGGCGAAGTTCGTGATTCCAGAGCAGACAATCCAGGTCCAGGTGCTTACAACTATCAGCCAACATTTGCAAACGAAGCTCCAAAGGCATACATGCACACAAGGAATGGAGATCCAATGGGAATCAACTCAATTTCTCCAGGTCCAGGTGCTTACAGTCCTGATTACAACACACAGAAGTCTAGAGCTCCAAGTGCTTCAATGCACATAAGACCAGAATCAAGATCAATTGAGACATCACCAGGTCCAAGTGATTACCAGATTGATAGATCACTTGGCGGACAGAAGTCAACAATGCACTCAAGAACAGGAGATCCAATGGGAATTAACTCAATCTCTCCAGGTCCAGGTGCATACAATCCAGGTGATGCAAACAAGACAAAGGCTCCTTCTTACACAATGAAAGGACGCCATGAATCAACATCACAAGTCAACACTGCTCCTTACAGAGATTTACCATCATCAATCGGCCAAGGACCAAAGATCTCTCTCGGATCTCGCCATGCAACAAGAGATGTTGAGAACACTCCAGGTCCAGCATACATCCCTCCAGCTCTTGGTGCAGATGCTCCTAAGGTTGCAATGTCATACAGACACGGCGAAGTTCGTGATTCCAGAGCAGATAATCCAGGTCCAGGTGCATATGATTACAAGGCACAGTTCGGAAATGAAGCACCAAAGGCTTACATGCATTCTAGAACAGGAGATCCAATGGGAATTAACTCAATTTCTCCAGGTCCAGGTGCATATAGCCCTGATTACAATTCTCAGAAGAAACGTGCTCCAAGTGCATCAATGCACATCAGACCAGAATCACGTTCCATCGAGACATCACCAGGTCCAAGTGATTACCAGATTGATCGTTCTCTTGGTGGCCAAGCTTCTACAATGCACGCAAGAACAGGAGATCCAATGGGCATCAATTCTATTTCACCAGGTCCAGGCGCTTATAACCCAGGTGATGCAATGAAGCCAAAGGCTCCATCATTTACAATGAAAGGACGTCATGAATCAGTTGAACGTCCAAACACTGCTCCTTATAGAGATCTTCCATCAACAATTGGCCAAGGTCCAAAGATTTCACTTGCCTCAAGACATGCAACAAGAGATGTCGAGAACACTCCAGGACCAAATTATGTTCCACCAGCACTTGGTGCAGATGCTCCTAAAGTTGCAATGTCATACAGACACGGCGAAGTTCGTGATTCGAGAGCAGATAACCCAGGTCCAGGTGCTTATGATTACAAGGCACAGTTCGGTAATGAAGCACCTAAAGCTTACATGCACTCAAGAAATGGAGATCCAATGGGAATCAATTCTGTGTCTCCTGGTCCAGGCGCTTACAACCCTGACTACAGCACACAGAAACCACGTGCTCCATCAAGTTCTATGCACATCAGACCAAAGGATAGGACTGGCGATACAACACCAGGCTACACAGACTTAGGTTCTACACTTACTGGACCTGCCTTCACAATCGGTCTCAGAGAAAACCTCGGAATGATCCCTGTTTAAGTTTGATATTTTTTTTAATAATAATTATTGTGTAATTTTTATTTTTTTTATTGATTGATAAATAATTTTTTCTTTATTCTTATATATAGAATTACCTTGTTTCAGATATAATCTCTTAAATAACCAGTTTACGAAAATCAATAGAAATGTCTGATCATATTTCGTAGCTTTCGGTAAACAAATATTGGCAAATAAGATTTTTATGATGATATCTTCCATTATTCACATATTAATCAATTTTCTGATTACAGATCCAAAAATATTAATTTACCCGTTGCCTTAACAATATGTTTTCAAAAATTGAACATACACGGAAATATTGATGGAAAAATAAAATATGTTTAAAAAGGAATTTAATTATGACAAACATAAAGAATACAATTATATTAATGATTTTGTTCAGTTTTATTTCAATTTTAGTTTGGACTCATTACCTAATTTAGCGCCGATTGGAAGTTCAGGCAAAAGCCTTAGTGAGGCTATAGAACTTCTTTTCAGCGACTTGAGTTTGAGTGAGATAATGGACATCCGAGCTAAACTTGGCTTTATTTTACACTTATGTTGTTGTTCAAACTCACTTTTGACGACAAATTATATATTAAAACTGATGGAATTAACAGACGAAAACAAGAAAATATCAATTTCGCTTACAGCAATGCTTTGTTTTACATTTAAATATTTATCTCCACAACAGAAATCAGAACTAGTGAAACAACATCGCCAGCAAATAATGAAACACGCATGTTATGACAATGAGGACCATATTCAAGGCTTAATCAAATTTTTACAAAATGGAGGAAATTTATATTTTCCTTGCAAAGATGATTTGATCATATACTTTCTCAGCAGATATATGAATGACGGATTTATCACCGGAAAAATCATTACTTCGTTAATACAAACAAATCCTCAAGAATATTCGCCTCTTTTTTGGAGATGGTGGCAAAGCAAAGTAAGTTTCGAAAATCTATCAGATAACTTTACATTATTATCATTTATTTGCACAAATAGTCACATTCAGCCCCCAAATAATGAAATTCTTTTTGAAATTCGAAAATTTTGTGAGAGAACGATAAAAGAAAGTAAATCATTCGCTAATTTAGAGTCCGCACTTATGATCTACAAATGGATTATCAAAAATAAAGCTGCAATTCCCGAATTTGATTACAATTTCAAACAATCGAATCTAAAAGCATTAGCGATCTCTTGTTACGCAGAATATGCAAGATACGGTGATTTATCGAAGCTTCCTGTGCTTCCTAGAACAAATGAACCTGGATTACGAAATGCCTACGCAGAAGTTATCTTAAATGTGTGCCAGAACCCAAATTACTCAATGCTGAAGATAGATCATCCAATATGGAACGCAATTCGTTCAGAATTTATTGATAATAATTTTATATGCGAAAGATGTAACATTTTATCACTGACTATTGATGAACTCGATGTCTGTATCAACTTATCTCATCTGTTACCTGCTTATTTCTTCATTTACGCAATGAGAGCCAGTACAAAAAATATTGATAAGCTAAAACGAATGATAACTCTTGTTTGTGAGTGTCCTCAGCCTGTCCTTACAACACATATTGACGAATTCTGCTCATTTATACAGAGAATCATTGAAAAAATGCCGATTTTGGCAACTCATCTGGCAAATTCAATCAGAAAGTTAATTATTCCACTTAGAAAGTATATAGGAATGATATTAACCAAACTTCATCCAATAGATTTCTTTAATACTGAAGAATTATGCGCAAAATTTATAATTATTGAAACGTTGATATCACTTTCAAGAGATATGGAGTATTTTGTGGATGATTTAGACTGTCTATGGGAAATACTACCAACAATTAGGTTATCTCAGTCATTTTGCGTTGCATTATTTAATTATTTTCATTCTATAGCGATGTTATCGAACAAATGCAATGAATTTGCAAATCTTGCAATATGTTCGATACTCCCTGTCTTCGGAATACCGATGCCGCCCAATTTAACTCCTCTTCAAGAAAAATTTTTCAGATCAAGTTCAAACTTTTGCGCGATTTCGATCGTAGACATAATATCGAATCCAATGTTTGACATACGTAACTCATTTCCACTAATTGGCGCTTGTTTACGGCTAATTTGTTCTTGTCCACCAAATGACAACGAATTAACGAAGTTATTCATCCCGAATCTACCAAAAATTGCAACAATATGTCCTGCAGAGGCCACTGCTGCTGCAAATAAATACACAACAGTGTTTTTCAAAAAATATAAATCAGAAATTCTCCAATTTTACGATTTTGTGAAACAATTCGTTGTTCGCACGAGTAATATTCCATTTATTATGCAAGCATCCATCTTCCAGACCACTCTTTCGAAATTTACAGAGATAGAACAGTCTTTTCACGCCAGTTCTGACTTTTTCCAACTGACAGACGATATAAACGAGTCCAGATTGGCCATACTAATGAATTCAGATTTCAGTACTTTTCTTCTTTCGAAACCAGACCAAATTTCAATTTTATTAGAGCAATGGTACACAGGAACTCCAGTTGCCCTGCTAAATACCATTAAAACAGCCGCAGCCATGAACAAAGATCCACGCGAAACTCGATATTTCAGAGAGTTTATCAACGCATTTGGAATAAGTCAACCTCCTTACGACGGAGAGAACAACTGGGTGAAGCGGACGTTTGTTGATGACATAAAAGTTGAGAAGGAACCACTCTCAGACATTCTAACTCAGTTCCCTGTTGAAACAGACAACAAATTAAATTCAATTTCAACTTTTATCAACGAACACATGTCAGATGAAGGTAATCGTACAGTTGTTTGCCATCTACTCGAAATATACAAGTCCGATCTATCAGAAGTTTACGGAAACGAGTTTTGGTTTTTGAAATCAATCGTATATTTCGGACTTGAGTTCCCGCAGGAGATGATGAAACTTGATTTTCATAGAGACTTGTATGCGCTCGCTATCCTCACGCGTCGCCATTTATTAACTCCGACGACTGACGAAAATTTTCCAGATTGGCTCAATATAGATATGCTTCGTATGGTTGCTAAGTTGAATCAATCCCAGATAGAGACAATTTCATCGTTTAACTCCTTGACATTGAACTTGAAATTCTGGTCGAAATTAAATTCGCCTCCAGACTTCAAAGTAACATTGCCAAGCTCTATAATGCATTCGGTGCTGACTTTTGTAGGTTGCGCCTTAAGGAGCGAGGACGAATTCAAGGAAATCTTGAAAAATAACTCCGATCAATTGGAAGCAATGATAAACGGCGTTGACTGGAGAAATCCTACATTTTTCACGACCGTTTTAAATTTCACCGTGTCACTTTTTTCATTTGCTCCAAACATAGACAAATTTTACCGTTCAGTTTTAGGTGTTTTAGTATACATCAGCCGGAATTCTACTGCACCAATCTTTGAAGCATCGAACTCTCTGCAGGAAATAGCAATTCACGCAGGAGTTAAGAACTTACCGAAACGTTTAGGAACAGGGAGATTTGAAGCATTACGAGATTTAATATAAAACATTTTTGTTAGTAATTTATATAAAAAAATTAACATAATATTTTTTAGTCTGAGCTAGAACTAGAAGAAGATGATTTCTTCTTCTTTTGTTTCTTCTTGTTCTTCTTATCTTGTGACTGCTGGTCATATCCTTGCTGTTGTTGCTATTGTTGAGGCTGAGACTGTTGTTGTTGTTGAGGTTGTCCATATCCTTGCTGCTGAGGCTGTCCATATCCTGGATACTGTTGAGGATATGGCTGCCCATATCCTTGTTGTTGGTAAGGTGGGTATTGCTGATATCCTGGATACTGTTGATAAGGAGCTTGAGGGTATTGCTGATATGGATATTGCTGGTATTGGCCTGGAGGATATTGTTGATACTGACCTTGTGGAGGATATCCATAAGGATACTGTCCAGGCTGTTGAGGTTGTTGAGAAGGTGCCTGACTTTGTTGAGGTTGATTTTGCTGTGAATTTTGGGCACTTTGAGGCTGTTGAGACGGAGGTTCCTGGCTTTGAGGGGCAACTGGTTGCTCTTGTTTCGGCGGTTCTTGTGGAGTTGGCTTTTGCTCTTCTTGAACCTGTGGTGAAGGAGGTTGATTTTGCGGAGCCTGGATTTGTTGGGATTGAGGTGGTGGAGGAGCTTGAACTTGGTTTTGTGGTGGAGGAGCTTGTTGGAACTGAGGAGGTGGTGCTTGAACTTGAGGAGGCGGAGGTGCTTGTTGGAATCCTGGAGGAGGGGCCTGAAGTTGGGGTGGTGATGCTTGAGCTTGTGGAGGATGTTTCGATTGTTTCTTCTTCTTTTTTGAATCAGATTCTTCTTCCTCTTCCTCTTCCTCTTCTTCGACATTATCAACTATTCCCTTTCTTTGAGGTGGAGTTGTACCATAAATGTAAAAGTTTGGATTGAAATCATAAGGTTCTAATGGCGTAATTTCGAATGAACCTTCTTTAAGGTACATGCTACCATCTTCTTTACGGAACGTTTCAAGTGCAGCTTTTTTATCAAGTTCCTCAAACTTGCAGCGATATTTTCCTTCTTTCGAAGAAAATTTTTTGACAAGAGTGATTTTCATATCAACACCTGTTACGGCCCAAATGTATTCGTAGAGATATTGATAACCTGCTAAAGCTGTCAATAACCATAACAGACATCCTCCACATGAGAGATAAAACTTCATAACGGTAGGAGGTTCGTCTCCAAAGAATCCTACAGCATTTTGCTGTAAATCTGGAATTCTAATACGTACAGAAACTCCATTCTTATCTCCTTTATTATGAACTTTTTTCCATAATTCTAAGCGAACCTTGTTTATAGTTTCCTTCAATTCATCATCTAGTTCGAATTCATATCCACACATTGTATGCATGATTTCGGTTTCGTTTACGCGAATCGGATTCGAATCTTCTTGCCAAGATTTGTATGGAATAACAATTCTTTTAGAAAATGGTGTACTCCATACCGTTTTACTATGGCCGCTTTTTTTGTGAATATGCTTATAAGAATAAAATCCATAAACAGAAATTCTTGCTGGCTGGGCTCGGTTTGTACATATTGTATTGATAAATTCTTCTTTCGATTGTTGTCCATTGATAATTTCGAACATTATGCAATGCCATTTATCAAACCATGTAGAAATGCATTGATCAAGTGGAACAAGTATTAGGATAGCACCAATGCCAAGACATGAAAAAGATATCTTCTGTATTGTTTTGTTATCTGTCATAAGAGAAAACAGTAATCCCCAGCCGATATTCATTAAATAAGAGATTGCTAGGGCTGATGACGAACCCAACTTCTTTTTCCTAACTAACAATATTGTTTGTGTGATAACGTTCGGGAGCATTAAAGCCCCTGCGATATAAAAAGGCCAGCTCATTTCGAAAAATGTTTTTTCAACGTTCTTTTTTTATCAAAACCGAAATTTTGCGTAATTTGATATAATAGTGAATATCCATTTTACAGAAAACCGACGCTATGCATTCAATTATTTTTTTCTAGGCGCCGTTGGTAAAAATCTCTCTCAATTGATTATATGAAGTTGTCTATCCTAAGCGATCCATCACAAAATGCACCCAGAAAAATGCAACTTAAAAACAATAGGTTTTTGAATACTGTTTAAATAAAAACTATCACAAAAACCGTTTGGATTGAATCTCTTGGGATCCTTTAGTTAAGTTCATCGTTTCATTAAGGAGATGCTATAACAGATTTTGTTGCATGCTAAGTTCGGTCAACGATAGAAATTGAGTGGGAATTAATCGTCGAGGAAGTACGATTATGTAAAGTAAAAAAATGTTGTGGGATTTTTAATATTATATATTATTTTATAATAAAATTTTTTGAGTCATTTTAAGAAGCACATATAATTTTTTGAATTTAAAAATTAAAGTAGTGTCAAACGAATTTATCACTTAATTTAATACTCAGATTTCTTAAAATTAATGAAAAAAAGGTTTTCTGAGAACTTTTGAGAATGGTTTCAAATTCCATTATTGAAAATATATAGGTATTGTATGAAATTCAAACTCTATATTTATTAAAATTCTAAATTTTTAATAAAATAACTTTTCAGAGGAATATGATTTTGAATGGTTGATTAATAAGTATAAAAATGTCTACGATTTTAAGGAGGGAATTGTTCCTTATGAGGTATACATCATAACTATATACATCATAAGGAACAATTCCCTCTTGATAGCTGGGAAACTTTCTCTGAATAACTTATCATTTGGAGAAAGTTTCCCAGCTATCTATTAGAAACTAAAGGCTGTGAGGCACTAATATATAATCAGTGCCTCATAGCCTTTAGTTTCTTATTAAAAACGAGAAAACTTGTTCGAAATGATAAACAATTTCGAACAAGTTTTCTCGTTTTAAGGAGGGAATTGTTCCTTATGAGGTATACATCATAACTATATACCTCATAAGGAACAATTCCCTCTTGATATCCTGGATATTTTTGAATATATTTTTTTAATTAAAGTTCTCAAAAGTATTATCAAAAGTGATTTTTTAAAAAATATCTCCAATTAATTAACTAATTAAAAGTATTATATTTTTAAAATTAAATAGTTTTTCAATTTTTTTGAAGGAATTGAGATACTTCCCACGACAATAAAATTGAGAGGTTTACATTATGACTGATCTTAGCATGCAACAATTTAAAGATCGAAATAGTTACAAACTCTAAAAAGATCGGAATTTTTTTCTGAAAGTCCTCAAAATCAGTTCGATGATTAAGAAATACAATCAACGTATTGATAGAAATAAAATAAAGATAAAAAAATTAAATATTGCAATTCGGATTTTTGAATTTTAACAATATTTAATTCAAAAAGGACAAGTGCCATAGAAAACAGTTCACACAAGTGCACGTAATCTAGATACTTGAAGGAATGCGTTTTATATTCTTGGTTTCAATGTCTTTTGATGCAGAAGGATGCAGAATTTATTTTTGGACAATTCTAACGGCAGAAACAACATAGTTGCTATTTGTCATACTGGAATTATATATAGTTCTATGAAGGGAGTAATACCGACGATAGCTCTTATTTGGCCAAAAAAATCCATGACACGACAGGTTCTACTTATAGATTTAGATGATACAATTTATCCCCAAGATTGGATTCCTCTTGAAATTATTGTCGAAAGTGTGGTCAAAACTCTCAAAGAATACGGATATTCACAAAAAGATATTGATGATCAAAGTAATGTCGGCGGCGCGGGAATTTTTAATTGGGCTTTGCGTGTACTTAAAGGTGATCTTGTCAAATTTGATCAGTTTTGCATTGACGTTTATAAGAAAATTGATTATTCAACAATAAAGCGTGATGATCATCTGTATAGCCTACTACAAAAAGCCTCCGAGAAATTCGATATTTATATAGCAACAAATAATACCAGAGTTCATGTTGAAAAAATTTGCGAATTACACTTTGGTCATTCACTGAATACAGCTTGTTTTGGCTGTATAGATATAAAAGATACATATTTTGATGGAGTTTTTCATCCAAAGCAAACTCCTGGAAATTTAGCCGTATACGCTAAACTTGCGAAAACTGAACCATCTAATTGTATCCTTCTTGATGACTCATATCCAAATATCAAGAATGCTAAAGCTCTCGGAATGAAAGCAGAAGCAATCACAAAACAATACACATTAGCAATAGCTTTGGAGAAGTTACTCCAAGATTAGTCATTTTATACAAATGTTATTATGATAAGACTAAACATTCTATTCACATCTCTTTTCAATTTTTATTTTTTTTATTTCATTCATTAAAAGTAAAAAACATCCTAAGATTATTTGAATCCTAATAAATCAGACAATTAGTTCAATCAAATTCTTCCTTTATTTAGATAATATCTGAATTCTAAGAAAAATTTCTTCAATCCTATTGTGATATTTAGCGTAACATAGCTCTTTTCAAAGTTGTGTAAAAAGTTGGGTTATCAGACAATACATTGCAACTAGTTATTTTTGATTAACTTAATCAGATGACCGAAAATGTTTTCTCAAATATTCAAAAAAAAAAAATCAAGATTACATTAATCTTACTGAGATTTTAAAGAAATTTAACTTAAAGGAAGTGAATGAATGAAAGGGAATAATGATGTGTATAACCACCATTCATAGTCAAACATCTCAAATGAAATCAGCATCTTTGGGGAATGTCAAAATTTTTTTTTTGAATCAAAAAAATGACCAATTTTGAGAAATGCTATAGTCGTAGTTTTATCAAACAAGAGCAAGAAACATGTAAATCCAACAGCTAGTGCATTATTGAACAGAGAATCGTGAATTAAATAAATATTTTCTATTGGAAATAATTAGATCAAAATATTTAATTAATGAAGTATATAAATAATTATGAAAAGCATCCCATTCACGTGTACATAAGCAGATTATGGATCATTGATTATTAATCTGAGTTTTTAAATTATCAACTCAAAAACGCATTATTATGAATTTTTTTTAAATAATCGACTCATAAAGCAAAGCATATTTATTTCCTCCTCATCTTATAAAAGCTAATGCATGTAAAATAATGTTTGAATCAAAATAATAATATAGCTATATCTTAAGGGTTATCAATTATAATAATATCATTTCTATCATCATAAGGATTTCATGCACACTATTTCAGATTCGTTATATGACTAGGATGAAATGTATATTAATTTATCAAATGTATCGATATTGATTAGAATATATTCAGCCCATATGCATATAGGATCAATAAATATCCTTACAGTATGCATTACAGTCTTCAATACGGCAATTATAATATAGAAACTACGTTAGATATTTTCTATTGAAATTCTTTGAATTAAAATGGAAATTAATACTTTGTCTCATTGTCAATCTCAATGCAATCATCTAAATAATGTGTCCTGGCAAAATTAATCTGACTAAGCAACCTTTTATTGGTGTTTTCAATTCAAAATTTTTAACAAAAAGCACAGAATAGTTCTCCATCAATGATTTTTTCACTTCACCGGAATTTTTGTACTTTTGGCAAAATCAAACATCATGACTTGTATTTTATTTTGCATTATGATCATTTATAAATGTATAATTAATCATGCTACTCAGTAGTTTCATCATTGAAAATATTATGCGACTTTCTTCTGAATCAAAAATTTTCTGACACAAATATTTGATTTAGCCAAACACTTTTGAATTGCCTAATTATCAATACTTTAGCAATTAGAAAGACCACAATAGATTTGTTAATTAATATTCCAGATAAATCAGATTAAAATTCAAACTTATAGAAAACCATAATATTATACAACTTAGAGAACAGCTGAAACAAATTTAACGATTTCCAATATCATATTATAAGCATTTGACAAATTTTTCAAATCTTCAATATTAAAATTTTGATAAGAAATGTTAGACTAAGCTTTAAAAAAGGTACATTCACTATTTTTGACAAAATTTTAAATTTTCATGGGGTTGTAAATCTTATAATAACTAGATGAATAAGGAATGAATCCCAGTATAATGTGCATCATTATATTAAACACTATATGTAAGGCTAATGATTCTATTAACACTTATGAAGATCTATAGTATTTGAGCAGATAAATTTGATAATTTCCAAAACTCTTATATTTCAAAATTAAAGTGTGCGAATGCATTTAAATGAGAGCAAAAAGAGATTGATGCTGTTAAAACTAGGTGTTAATTTGCAATTATTTCGCATCACAAGAACTACCCAGTAAATTCGGCTATCTTTCTTTGCAATTATTCTCCATTATACATATAATATAATATAATGGTTAGGGTTTGAAGAAAAGTTACTAGAGAATTATTGACTTTTGAAATAATGCAGAATTTTACTTGAAGAAATCATTAATTTATGAGTTCCAAATTGCTAAGCATGACGAAGGATCATTAAATTTGCTACAATTAAATACACTTATTGCAGAATTAAGATTTTTGAAATTAAAAGTTTGAAATATTGCCTTTTTGAATAAAAATTTAAATTTTATTATATAATCATGATAATATCTTATAGAAATTAAAAGAAAATATTTTAAACCATTCAAATATTTTGAATGTCTTATCAATTTAAAATATTAAAAGATAGCTTGATTTTATCATCATTAGTTGTTATCAAAGTTTTCTTCTTTTGATGAACAACAGTAAATGATTTGTTAATTACTTGTCTTCCTTTTTCGCAGCAAAATCGAAAGTTATGATGATAATCTTGCTGTCAATTTTGAAACTCTCTGATTTACAAATAAGCATTCCTTTGGAAAAGCAGTCCTATTATGATTCAAGATATTTTAAAGCCCCCATTTCATACAATGCGCAGATATATTCGAAATTGCAAGAACTCTCAAGAAAAATGCAGCAGCAAAGAAGATTCCATAGTTTCTAGCATCAAAAATTTACAACCTTAATACAACAGTTAAAGAGAAGCTCGAAAAGAAAATATTTAACCATAAAGCTGGAAACCATTCGATATCTACTATTGGATCTAATAAAAAGTTAATTATAACATATTTAACATGCTATTTGTTGACTTTGTTCCATTATATTACCATATATATCTTTTTGAAATCTAAAATATTTTTACGATTTTAACCATGTGTTGTTGAAACCATATATCAATCTTAGCTAAAGTATAGTTTATGAGTCTGTCACCATCTAACGTATGAATTTTCAAAAATGTCAAATATGTTCATTTTTTCTGTATATTCAGCCATAATTTCATGTATTTATACTATTCAACTATTATTTAATATTTTTATCAATTTAAATATATGATGAGATGCTTAGTTCTCCTGGAAATCGATTTTTAATCGCAATTTTAACTTTCCAAAAAAAATTCAAAAATAAAAATCCCTCTCAATTTTCTAAGTTTTATAACTCGCCAAATCTCTAGCCTATAGATCCGTATTTTTCCCAAGTGAGCGGGTATCTCCAATCCCAGCCCTATCGTCCTCCCAGTGTCAGTTTTCAATATAAAATCCAAATTTTTTTTGAAAATAAAAATTTCGAGAAATTTTTCTGATTTTTTTCTCTGATTTCAATAATTCAAAATAAATTTGGGAGTAAAAAGACACTATTTAATGAAATTCATATGAGTGAATGTGGATAAATACTCTCAAAACATACAATTTAAAGTCTTTTCAGGGGGGTTTTACCGTGATATTAGCCTTGTACCGAAAAAAAGTGACGGACACTGCCGTAAAATAATATTTTATTAAAAAATTTTTGGTGGAGAATTGGAAAATTTTTGTTGGAAAATTGGAAAATTTTCCTAATCATTTGGACTATAACCTGGCATATTAGGGAGTTTTGTCAACAACTCAGTGCTGGGATCAAGATAGTTTGTAATCCAAAAGTAGAAACGTTCCTTGGTGTCTTGCTCTGGCTTCCTGCAAAATCTGTGATTTGCAGGATTCTTCTTAATATTGTCAGAAATTGCGCAAATCATGTCCATCGTCGTCAATTCTTCACCATTGATGTTAAAACGATTTCGATTACGGTAATTTATTTTCTCTTGCAATTCTTTTTCTGCAGGAGTCAATTCACGAACATACTTATTATGTTTGAGAGCTTCAGTTAGTATGGGTTAGTTGGGTATGGTGGCACTGCCTTCCATCTTACCCATTATATGTAAATTTGACACTTTACAAAACCGTTAACGTATATTTTACAACACAAACGACAACACTAACTTAACCTTAAATATTTACAAAGCCGCCAACCACTTCACCTCACTAACATTTTCAATAACGACTTCACTAATGAAAAAATAAACGTTCTCATAAATTTTCTTCTATATCTTCATCGTCAATGTTAACTCTATTGTAGTCATACTTGAAGTCATAAAGTTTCTCAAGTTTTGAAATGCATAGTCTTGTTAACTTACCTTCATCATCATAAGTTTTTATAAAACTACCATGACAATCTTTATACACAGTCAATGTATAGTCAACTGGTCTAGGATGAAGTGTAAAGAACATGTTATACTCAGGAAGGAAGAATAAATGTTTAAATGTATGTTTGTTATATGTTTTGATTTGTATGAGTTGCTTTTGTTCTGTCATTTATAAAAATAAACTTAAAAAATAAACTTAAAAATTAATGATATCACCACCCTCACACGTATGAAAACATAGCACAAAAATAAATTTAGGTGAAGTGGTGAAATCTCACCTCTTTTTTCACCTGTTTTTTCACCCTGTTGAATTCATTGCTTTATAACTCTCTTCCTTGGTTTCTTTTTAGTTGCTTTCTTCACGTCTGTCTCCAACTTGACTGTCTTTCTTCTTCGGCCGTAATGATACCAGTTACTTCCACCAGTCAATGGGTCAAATGGTCTTTCGTAAGGGTTTCCATACATTCCATAGGGACCATACGGAAGAACTACTGGTGGAGAAGAAACATTTTCTTTAGTTCCATCGACTCTATTTAAATGCATTGTTTCACCTTTCATCTGGTCATTAAAGTCTTTTGCGTGTTTTGCAAACTCATCGTCCTTTCCTAAAGCATTTTCTGACTCAGTCGCAACCAAATTGGATGCTTTATTTATGAGCCCTATTTTATTTAATCTTAACTTTTTTGCAACCCAGCCTCCAATCTTCCCTTTATTTGCATCTAATGTCTTCGAAACCCTTCCTCCACTCATTTTATTTACTGCGTCATAAGCTCCAAGTGCTTTTGCTCCAAAT